ATGGTTTGGTGCGTGGGGATTAGGGTCGTTCAGAGATTTAGAATTCGGGTCCGGGGCTTAGCGTGTTGCTTCTTTAACCCTACACCAAGAGCCCTAAACCCAAAGCCGCAAACCCTAAGAGGGAAGGACGGGGAGTGGAGGGGCGAATCCGCCCAACACAAAGCCAGGTAAGTGCAAAGCGCTGAACAACAATCCAGCCAAAACACTACTTAAAGGATCATGGGACTAGTACCTAGGGTTATAAATAAGGTAACTAGACTTATAATTACTTATAACCCCAATTCAGGGACTTATAACCATACTTGCCAAGTCCCCTAATTGGGGTTATGAGTAGGTACACGTATAGTTGCCTTATGTATAACCCGATAGCTACTAAGTCCCCTGATCCTCCAAGTAGGATGCAACAGCATTGCTTGTAGCATCGAGTCGAGCCTTAGATGGGTTCTCCTTCAGAAGGGTTGGCTGTACTCCAAAGTCTAAGCACTACCCTCGGTATCGATTCGGAATAATTCTCTAAATTCCGCTCTTGCTGAATATAGCGCCCTAATCATGGACACCCTTGAGGAGTCGAGAAGTTCAGAAACTTGTCAAGGAAGGCCAGTGCATCGAAATGCATCTAATCGTCGGTCCTTGCATAGCTGCGCTTCGCTTCCTTTAACCCTACTTAAAGGATCATGGGACGTAGTAAGTAGGGTTATAAGTGAGGTAACTATACTTGTAATTGCTTATAACCCCAATTAGAGTACTCATAACCTTACTTACTAAGTCCCCTGATCCTCCAAGTAAACCCTGAACCCTAGCCCCAAACCGCTGGATGCCCGGACCAGTTGTTATCTCCTGGCGACGCATCGACTCTCTGAAGACCTGGCCACTCCCTAGGCTTAGGGCTTTGAGCTCCTGTAAAGAAGGTTTAGGGTTTTGGGTTTAGGGCTCCCTGAAAGAAGGTGCAGGGTTTAGGGTTCTAAGGTTAGGGCTCCTTTAAAGTAGGCTTCGACTTTTAGGATTCTAGGGCTTCGGGTTTCGAGCTCCTTCAAAGCATTCGAGCACTCTGGGGGGGCTCAGGATCTCGTTTTTGTTTTTTTCTTTTTTCGGGTTTGGGTTTAGGGTTTAGGGTTCCTCTAACGAAATTGAGCTCCAAAGCCTGAAACGAAACCTCAACCGTCAAGGGAACCCTCACCTAAACCCCCCAAAGTAGGTAAAATAATGGCCCAATACCCATCAAAAGGCTGTAATTCTACATACTTTTGGGGTAAAGGTACAGGATCCCTGAAAAGAGCCCTTGAAGGAACCCTTACGGCTTAGGGGTACTAAAGTGGCTCAGGGTGTCGGTTTTATGGCTTCGGGCCAGGGTCCCGGCTTGGAGTTTCGGCTGCTTGGAGGGGCAGGGGACTTAGCAAGGGTTCTTATTAAGGGCTCCTTAAAGGGATCTATAGGGTTCCTTAAAGGGATCTATGGGGTTTAGGGTTTAGGGTCTACTTGGAGGGGCAGGGGACTTAGCAAGTAGGTTGTAAGTAGAGTTATAACTACCCTAAATCGAGTTACCCCAATTATAACCCTACTTATAAACGACTTACTAAGTCCCCTGGCCCTCCAAGTAGCTAAGATTTAGGGTTGGGAGTCTGGGATTGGGGTCCCCGGCGAGGGGTTTAAGAGGTCTAGGGGTCCTTTACAAGAGTCCTTGGAGGACTTCTCCAAAGCTTCTATAGAATAATGCGGTTGCAGGCAAACGGAGGGCTTGGGCTTCTGAGGCCGTCCTTGGCACTTTGTATCCAAGTCTTGATCATTGAAACTCAGAATCCTAACCCAAAGGCCTCAACGCCAGACCCCAAACGCCGAACTTCTTGCACCCGAATGTAGGAACCTGATTAAGACAAGAAGCCCTGTGTTGAAACCTCGATATCCCGATATCCGTACTCCTACTTGGAGGATCAGGGGACTTGGTAAGTATGGTTATAACTAAGTCCCTTAATATTGGGGCTATAAGTAATTATAAGTATATAGTTCCTTATATGTAACAATCGCTACTAAGTCCCATGATCCTGTAAGTAGACCCTAAACCCTAAACCCTGTAGATCCCTTTAAAGGAACCCTTCTAGTATCCTTTAAAGGAGCCCTAGATCCTTTAAGTCCTCACAAAACTTTACTCCTACGGTCCAAAGATCCGAAACCCGCCACTCTTTGGCTCGCCTTTGTTCTTTGGGCTGCGACTCCGCGCCGCGCCATTCTTTCCCGGCCTTGAAGTCAGGGGTTAGAACTTTAGGGTTTAGGGTTTTAGGGGTTTAGGGGTTTAGGGGTTTAGGGTTTAGGGTTTAGGGTTTAGGGGTTTAGGGTTTAGGGTTAGTTAGAACCCAAAGGGTCCTATGTACCGATATAGTAGAATGTAGGGTTGCCCTATTAGGAATTACTGGTTAGTTCCATGTTTCCAATGCATCAACTTCTTTTCACGGCCTATTGGGGCCGATACGCAAAAACAGGCTAATGTAGGGGCCTTGATAATCAGAATAGGGTTTCGGGGGTTCCTTTTCAAACTTATAGTATAATATACCACCAAACCCTATTCGAATCATTAAGCCCCCTCCATTAGTGCTGCCTGTGCGGAAAGTGTAAGGCTTAGGGCAGTGAAAGGTGAAGGCGTCAGCGGGACGGGCTTTGCAATAAGGAGCGAACCTGGCCGAACGGCCCAGTCCTCAAATCTTTGAGGTCCAAGCAATGGCAATGTGGAGAGCTGTATTGAACACAACTTGGTCTTGAACCAAAGTGGTCTCTTCAAACAAGCTTTATCATCGAAACTCAAAATAAACATACCCATAGGCTCCATAGTAGTTCCTTCATTCGGGATTCCCTTACAGGATTCTAAGTATGAACCCCAAAAAGGAACTGCTATGAAGCCTCTAAGCTCTAGGTATCCTGGACTGTGCTCCGAACGCCATCGTGGCACGAGCGTCAGCAAGCCATCAAAGGCGGCATCAGATGATTTTGTCGTTATGCTGGATTCCGGCTTTCAGGCGTGCCTGGCAACAAAACTACCTTCCGCCACGAATTCGGGACCCATTAAATCGTAAATTCCGTGTCAAGAGCTGCCTACCTGAATAAAAGATAAGTCATGAGCCACTTCGCACAATTCGCATGCACGTGTTTTTCTAAGCTGAGCGTTTTGCATAGTTTGGGATACAGTGGCTTGTTAGGCTTGAAGTACCCTAAAGCTTACACCCCAAGTGTCAAAGCTTTGGTAGTGCTGATGTTCTGGCGGCAGACCTCGGCCATACCGGGCTGCTTGATCCAAGCAGGGTTGTACAGCGACAACAGTACGTAAAGGTTCAACTGAACTCTGTCAGGGTTCTACGAAGCAAGGCTTTATGACTGTGGCCGGACCTCTTTCACTCTCGTGTGCGGTTCGTGGTTTGCGGTCTTGGGGTCTATAGGGCTTTTAGGCATCTAGGGTTTAGGGTTTAGGATATCAAGGTTAGGGGTTTGGGTTTAGGGTTTCGGGGTTTAGGGTGTCGAACGACTGCAGGGCTGAGAAAGCCAGAATACATAGGATCGGTTTTCGGAATGGCTCCCACAAGGCGGCGAATCTTGGCCCATGCAGTCATCCTCTATAACATGTACAACTGTCTTTTTAGAGTATCGGAATAAAGGGTTTAGTTTGTATGACTGGGTTTTAGCGTTTAGGATCGGGGGAAATAAAACGCGTACGGTTTCCGGCTAGGTGCTGCACCCCAAGCCCTCGCAAACTGTGTGCTGTTTGTTGTGCATCTCCTGTCCGTCGCGGGAGCTGGGGGGTGAAACTGGTCTATCTACAATACGCGGGGTTTCTGAAAATCCGGACTACCTTGATCCACATGAGAGAGCCCTCTTACAGTAAGGTCCTACCTAGAAGGCTGCTTCTAGGGGGTTCTTCGGCTGATGATATAAATCCTGCATTACCCAGAATCAGGAACCCATCGTTTGGGGCCCTTAAGGATGTAATACAGATTTTTATCATCACCCCTAAACCCCAAAACCCTATAGATCCCTTAAGGTACCCTTATAGATCCCTTTAAACGAACCCTAGGGTTTATATCAACCGTACATCCACAGGATCCTAGAGATCATCAGGGTTGCTGTGCGGATTGGGGTTCATCTCACCATTTTGGGACTTGGGAACTTCGGGGTCAAGGATTTCAGGCTTACAGTAAGCCCCAAAAGGTTGGAAACGGATTAAGGCCAAGTAGTGCTGGGATTCCTTGTGTATCACTCTTGGGGATTGAGGCTATTGGGTTTCCAGCTTTTGGGCTTCTACTGTAAGCTTGCCATTAGAATATTGTTTTAGGGATTTGGGGGTTTAGGGTTTATGGGTTTCGGGGGTTTTGGGGGTTTTAGGGTTTAGGGCTTAAGGTTTAGGGTTTTAGGGTTTAGGGTTGAAGGTATACCTGGAGTCTTCATTGTAGTTCCTTTTTTGGTTAACCAGTTTTAGGGTTGGGATCCTGTAATAGAGATTTGGGCTAACCAAAAAAGGGAACTACACTGGAGACCATAGGTACAGTTTGCCACAGGGCTCTGGGACATGGAGCTATTATAATCACTACAGAATCTTCAAACAAACCCTATAAACCCTAAGTAAACCCACCACCAGGGGCCTTAGTGGGTGGAACTGGGGTTTCCGGTTTAGGGTTTAGGGTTTAGGATTTAGGGTTTAGGGTTTAGGGTTTAGGATTTGATTTAGGGTTTAGGGTTTAGGGGCTACAATCCTAACAAGGTTCTGGAAGGAATCGTACTGCTAAGTATTCTGCTTGCGCATGGAAGCTGCGTGATGCGGGGTGCAGGACGCATGGCTCAGGATTTCAGCGCCTGAAACCCCCACCCTAAACCCAACCACGAAGGTGGATTTCAGAAAGTTGGAACATGGATTACTTCAGGATAAAGAGCACAGGGAGTCCCCGCATACACCTTACAATGAGAGCATCAAGATAGTCATGTTCCAACTCTCTGACAGCTAATTCGATCAATGTGGAAAGCAGTCAGCTTCGCCCCAGTCGGCTTTGCTGCAGCGCACCGCTGGCTGTTGCCTAATTAGGGTTCATGATTTAGCAGACCACGCAGGCCAGGTGTTCCTTCCCAAACCCAGAGACTCCAAAACCGCTTAATTACGGAATATCTCCTTAAACTATACTCAGTATCCTAAGATGATTTAAGCACATTTATGTACATTGCTTAATTCAAGGGCGCTTTGGCGTCTTAAATCCTCGAGTCCCAAACCCCTGAATCAAAGACTATCCCCTCAACTGTAGTCGGTAACCTACTACTAACCAGTGGTTTTGGGGGTTCCCTTGGCTCTTTAGCTCCTTATTTAATTGGGATGATCATCATCCCTGGCTCCTTAGCTCCTCCAACATCAACGGTTAGACTATGACTTAAGGTGCAGTTGTGGAGCCTTAAACCCTCAAAGCCCCAAAGCCCCGCCCTCGAATCCCAGCGCCTCACGCACGATTTCCTGCGTGAAGCCCTTGAAGTTCGGGGGCTCCTAGGCAGTGTCTCCGGGTTGGGGGCTTAAAGTTCAGGGGTGTAGGGTTCTTTTAAGGGTGTATGGGTTAGGGTTTAGGGTTCAGGGGTTTAGGGGTTTTAAGGGTGTATGGGTCAGGGTTTAGGGTTCAGGGGTTTAGGGTGTTTAAGGGTTTATGGGCTAGGGTTTAGGGTTCAGGGGTTTAGGGGTTTTAAGGGTGTATGGGTCAGGGTTTAGGGTAAAGGGGTTTAGGGTGTTTAAGGGTGTATGGGTCAGGGTTTAGGGTTCAGGGGTTTAGGGTTTTTAAGGGTGTATGGGTCAGGGTTTATTTAGGGTAAAGGGGTTTAGGGTTTTCAAGGATGGGTCCGGGTTTAGGGTAAAGGGGTTTAGGTTTTTTGAGGGTGTATGGTTTAAGGTTCAGGGGTTTAGGGTTTTTAAGGGTGTATGGGCCAGGGTTTAGGGTAAAGGGGTTTAGGGTGTTTTTTAAGGGTTTATGGGTCAGGATTTAGGATTCAGGGGTTTAGGGCTTTTGAAAGGTGTATGGGTCAAGGTTTAGGGTTCAGGGATTTAGGGCTTTTTTTTAAGGGTGTATGGGTCAGGGTTTAGGGTTCAGGGGTTTAGGGTGTTTAAGGGTTTATGGGCTAGGGTTTAGGGTTCAGGGGTTTAGGGTTTTTAAGGGTGTATGGGTCAGGGTTTAGGGTAAAGGGGTTTAGGTTTTTTAAGGGTGTATGGGTTGGGGTTTAGGGTTCAGGGGTTTTTGGGTTTTAAGGGTGTATGGGTTAGGGTTTAGGGTTCAGGGGCTTAGGGTGTTTTAGGGTGTATGGGTTAGGGTCTAGGGTTCAGGGGTTTAGGTTTTTTTAAGGGTTTATGGGTTAGAGTTTAGGGTTCAGGGGTTTGGGGTTTTTAAGGGTGTATGGGTCAGGGTTTAGAGTAAAGGGGTTTAAGTTTTTTAAGGGTGTATGGGTTAGGGTTTAGGGTTCAGGGTTTAGAGCAAGGGGTCTAGGCAGGGGGTTACGGCTTGGGGCGTTTTGCGGTGCGGGCGTAGGGTAGTTTCGGGGTGTAGGATCGAGGGCTTATGCCTCAGAGTAGGGGCTTAGGTTTTAGGGGCTAGGATTAGGGCTTGGGGCTTCACTGCTTAATCAGGATGCTCCATACTGAACTTGAACCCCTAGCAAAAATCAAAGTTGCAGCTGTTTCTTAGCGAGTAAAGGAACCCATGACTGAACGTCATTTATGAGTACCCCTCTGTCCTAGGGCTTGGGGTTTAGGTTTCAATCGACATTCGAAAAGACGAGCTGATAATGTCAAAACCTTTGTCTTCAGAACAGAGTACATGCGAAGCTCTGGGGAGAAGGGACTACCGTTGTCCTCTGTCTGAGGCCCCTCGACCCTGAACCCTAAACCCTCAGCCCTAAACCCTAAACCCTAAGCCAAATAAACCCTAACCCTACACCTTGAAGGGTGGTTAAGGTAGCCCAGGGTTGAGTTCAGCTGAGAAACCCCAGCTATGCATGAATCTTGAAGTCCCTACCTATAGTCTCTATTGTAAGTCCTTTTTTGGGTTACCTGAAAGGGTCCTAACTACAAAAATGTCTAAACCAATACAATGTAGGCATAACTTCTACTGACTACAAGCTATTACAGGGTTTAGATTAACTACGAGTACTGTTCCTGATTAACGGGGCCTCAACAAAGGTTTAGGGTTCTAAGTTTAGGGCTTAGGGAATTCGTAACCTGCTATTTGATAGGGTGACACTACTTCGTACATGTTAACTGTATACCCCTAAGAACCCGGAACTTAAAGACATGCTCAGAAGGCTTCAGCCCAGACATGCAAGAGCCTCTGCACCACATTAACTGACACTACCTGAGATGCTTACGGCTTAGGCGGATTGCATTCAGAGCCTGCCACGGTAAAATCCATGCAAAAGAGACCTGGCTACCTAGACCTTCGAAAAACCCTGAGATAAGGAATATGCCTTATATCATATTGGGGATCCCTACTATCATTTAAGGCTTATTCCTGAATTAAGGGATTTAGGAAGGTCCGGGTATACTTGAAGTTCAACTCGAGACCCTTCCCCTACACCGTTATCCCGAGTAACCTAAACCGTATACCCCCTCGAACCCTAAACCCCTAAACCCTACCCTAAAACGCTATAAACCCTGAAACCCTACACCCCACAAGCCCTAAACCCTACACCCTGAGCCCTAAACCCTACACTCTGAGCCCTCGAACCCAAGAGACCCAAGACCCAAAGCCCGACCCAAAAACAGCCAAATCTGGGAACCGGGGTACTTTTGGGGGCCTTCATCATTTCCTATTTTTGCTCAGGGGTGTCCTTTAAAGGGGTCTATAAGAGGTACTTATAAGGGAATCCTAAGGCCGATGTACCAGGGGTTTTGCCCGTTTAGGGGCCGCAACTGGACTCTTAGGATTTTCGGGTTTAGGGTTTAGGGGTTCTTATGAAGGAATTTCGGTTAAGCTACCATAATAGGGATCCTTTAAAGGCTCCTTTAAGGGATCTATAGGGTTCCTTTAAGGCTTTAGGATTTAAGGTTTAAGTTACAATAATGGCGATCGATGCTAGTTAAACTGGTTTCTTCTTTATTACGGTAGCTTAAGTTTAAATCCCTTGAAAAGAAGCAGGAAATTTGCATGCTTCACAGCCGAGACCCGCTCTATACTCTGCAAGATGCTGCGAAGTTTGCAGTCATCAGCACAGAAGTAACAGAAAGCAGTGGGTGCTACTTGCAAACTCACAGACTTCATAGCAGGCGTGCCAGCCCCCTGGGGTTGCCGCCAATCCGTGCTGGTGGAAGGAAATCAGTAGTAATGAGTACCATCATCATGACAAATCATAGTCATTTAGGAACAGCACCATAAGAATGATAGCAAATCTGGGAAGCTTGAGTTAGCTGCTCTTGTGGCACGGATGCGGGCCGGGTACTGGCACACTTGCCGACTCACGAAACTTTTCAAGACAACGAACACCATCCCGGGCGGCGGAGCCAACCGCTCAGCTCAGGACGTGCTTTAGATGCGAGTAGATATCATCCCTTGACCTCCGAGATCTTCTTGAAGAAGCCGAACTTGGGGAAGCAGACCAGGAAGCAAACTGAAAGCATCATGGGCACCTTGGGGCGAGTTTCCAAGCCTGCATTAGCTCGAGCCTTGTATGTTCCGTAAGGGTATGTAAGGGTTTATATACGAATGGATAAATGAACACACACATGAGTTGTTACATACGTAAATATATACACATCAAATCACAGTGTCTGTATGTGTGTATATATATATATACAGATATATGGCTGTGGGTAGATACGGCAGATAACCTATGGGCCGTAATTATTAGAATAAGGTTTTGGGGCCCATTATTTATACTATAGTCAGAATAAGGAACCCCCCAAAAAATAGTATAGGTAGTTTGTTTTAGCCCCAGACTAAGTCCCGATAATAGCCATTACAGTAATCCTTACATACAGACTTTACTACAGGTAATATTAAGGCCCTCCAAATTACGGATATATCGGCCAACACCAGGCCTCCGCATCAGGCGGAATCGCCGCCGCGGAGACAAGGCAGCACATTTGCCCCTGCCTTGGCTTTGGGGTTTTCCAGGACCCCCGCAATGGCCATTTAATGAATCCGCTATGGTCCTTAATAGTGGGTATTTGCGCTATAATGGAGGGTAGTTGGGGGGCGGTCTAGTAGGGGATTAGGGTTTTTTTTTTTTTTTAAGGTGCAATGGCTCTTTCTCCGCTTAGCAAAGCAGGTCGGGAGCCTGCCACAGCAGGCTTACACCACTCTACACTGCAATCAGGCGTCACCGAAGATCAGGATGAGTCACGACTACGACTTCGCTCCACACGAAAGTGTGCAGTTCCATGGAAGTTCGTCATCTCGTCAGAAGAAACAGAACGACGACGACGCGCATGAACAGAATCGCGACGATTATGTAGGGGATTAGGGTTTAGGTTTTAGGGATCTTGGGTTTAGGTGCTCAGATTTAGGGTTAGGGTTTAGGGGTTTGGAGGTTTAGGATTTAGGGATTTATGGGTGCAGGGTTTAAATCGGGTTTAGGCGTTTTTGCAGAGGAACCTAATGGAAAAGCTGGCGAAGCTTGAACTTGTGTGGTAGAATCGGGTTCTAACGCCTGAAAGAAGCCAAAAGCAGCTGACATTACACTGATGCTCCACGTTAATATAAGGGTCTGTAGAATTAGAAACAGTTTTGCGGCATATTATACTATATGGACGATGAACTTCCCAAAATAGTCTCGGTAGTTCTCTAACCCTGAGGCTCAAAATAGCCCAGAAGCCTTATATAGTATGGTCTTCGGGCCTAAAAGCCTTAAAATGTGTGTCCTTAGAGTCTAAGGGTAAGTTCCTAAAATACACCAACTCAAGAAGACCCAGACCGCTGCCCTCCGAAGCCAAAGGCGCTGCTTGATGCAAACGGTCACAGGCACGATGCGGATGTCCAGGCAGAAGCAGCGAAGCCTCGCGACTTCAGGGTTTACCTATAGTCTCCGCTGTAGTTCCTCTTTGTTCGTGAACCAAAATCTCTATTATAGGATTCTAACCCTAAACCTGGTTAACCAAAAAGGGAACTACAATGCAGACTCTAGGTAGGGTTTAAGCTTAGGGGAGTGGATTCCCGCCCTCTCACGGACTCCAGGAAACCACAAATCCCGAACACTGACATGGACACCCTGTCTCTCGAGTGTTTCCTCCCAGCCCAGATTCCCACTAAACCCCAAACCCTAAACCCTAAACCCTAACCCCTAAACCCCTAAACCCTAAACCCCTAAAGCCCTAAACCCTAAACCCCTAAACCCTAAACAGCCCAACCCATGACCGACCCAAGACCAAGGTGCTTCTCGGTGTTGGTCTTGAGGCAGAAGTCCCACTCCAGGCAGAGGAGCGTCTCCTCCGTTGTATCAGCAAGCTTACGAAGTAATATAGCCCAAAGGGTCCAAGTATCATCATGGGACATACTTAGACCCCAAAATGCCCTATAAGTATATACCAGGATGATACTTGGACCCTTTGGGTAGGGGCCTATTAGAAGAGGGTTTTTGGGGGCCTGTTCTACTATAGTTTTATAATCAGGAACCTCCAAAATAGTATTGGTAATTATTTAGGGCCCTATAGTACGATCGTCTAGCCAGGCAAGATTGTAGCGGTTTTCGCCAAGCCGTTGAAGCAGGTGCGGGGCAAGATCAGGGTCAGGTGATGTGCAAGATGAAGCTATCCACCGGTCCTTAGCGGCACATCCGATCTCGATGTTCTCCAAGTTGAGGCCGTTGAAACAGCCTTGGCATCTAGTTGGCTGCGTAGCCGACAGGGTTCATCAACTCTGCTCTTGAGTATGCAAGGTCTCGGAAGACTCACAAGAGCGAGGAGTCTTGAGTACACCACGGCTCGGATTCCTTTCCCAAGCAGGCTTCGCATCTTGCACCCAAGCTCTCCTAGACCTTTCAAAATCCGGTAATTAAGGCATATACATTAAATTTTAGTATAGTAGGGATCCCTAATATGAAAAAAAGTATATCCCTTAATTCAGGGATTTCGGAAGGCCTGGGCTGAGTTTGCAGGACCACTGGAATGCTGTACCCGACCAAGGCGCAGAAGCAGGCGCCATAGACGGTCACCTCCCAGACACAAAACACACAAAACAGATACTAGTTGCACATCAGCATCTTCCTAGTCGTGGGGCTGTATGCAGCCCTGTCAATGTTAGCCTAGTTCTGCGCCAGTCTTGCCGTGAAAGGGCTGCGGATCGGATCAACCTACGCTTGGGTCACTGGGGGGGCACTCTCTGGGTTGATGTGCAGGGATGTGCACGGCACAATGTACGCGGTAGGCCACGCACACGACGGGGCACCCTACGACCCTACGATTCCGTGACCTTCGACTCGTCGATGGAATCCAACCCCATGCTTACAACGGCGATGCGGAGGTCAGGGCGCGACTTCGGAGATGTGTCTCTTTTGGGACCGAAATCGCTGCAGTAGGCAGGTTGGGCATGTTGGGGCTCAGAGTGTGGGGTGTTTTGTGGTGTAGGCTTCACGGTCTAGCGCATTGTCTGACTTTCACATGGAGCATGGAATAGACCTTCATCTATCTATCTATCTTTCTTTCTGTGTTGTATGAACAGAATACAGAAGATCCTTCGGGGTCTGAGGCAGCTTGAAGCTTGTTGGGAGGGTGGTTTCAGTTGGGTTCGCTTTGGCAAACCTATGTGCACGTTGCTTCAATGACTTCAGCATAACTCTCTTCTTCAAGAACCGGGCCCCAAAAAGTTCAAATTTTCTAAAATAGAGCTTATATATATATACATATATATATATATATATAAGGTCAAAAAGTTTAAAGTTCTCCCGTTCACTTTCCAAGATAACAAGGGCTCGAAAAGGGAAGAACTACTTCTCGAGACCTCGCAGCTCACAATCCTATTCGTCCGAAAATCATAGAGGAGTCCCGGTTTAGGGTTTAGGGTCTAGGGGTTAGGGTTTCGGGGTTACGGGTTAGGGTCCAGGGGTTAGGGTTGTTATAGGAGGCCGCGAATTCTGAAATCTAAGCTTCACGCTGGCTGCGAGCAGCAAATCTCAGCACTTCAGAAGGACAACAATCCCAAATCATCAGGTTGAGGGTCTAGGGTCTAGGGTTTAGGGTTTAGGGTAGCGGAAGACTTTGTGTAGGGTTGCTTGAGGGTTTAAGCCTAGCTAGAAGATGACTGAGAGCTTCAGGTACAGGGATCACTTGGAGGGGCAGGGGACTTAGTAAGTAGGTTATAGGTAGAGTTATAAGTACCCTAAATGGAGTTACCCCAATCATAACCCTACTTATAAACGACTTGCCAAGTCCCCTGGCCCTCCAAGTAGGGTTGAGGGCCGAAGGGGTGGGACCCCTGGGATTTTGTCTGAGGAAGCCTCGATCGCACGACTTGGCTTCGAGCCGCAGGCAGAACCCAAGGGCACAACCGAAAACAGACCGGAGAGGCTGGAGCGGAAAACCTTACAACAATGAGCACAAGAAGCTCCGAAGCTTCCATGGGCCCCTAGGCACCGATAACTTGAGCCCCAAACCCTAAACTCTACACCCTTGGCCCAGAAACCTAAACCCTAAACCCTAAACCTAAACCCCTAAACCCTAAACCCTAAACCCTAAACCCTAAACCCTGAACCCTGAACCTTCAGCCCTAAAGCATCGTAAGAGCCAGGCCCTTGGGATGTACTCCTTCCTGAGGTTGCTTTGCCTGGCGCGTCCAGCACATGAAGGCATTGAGGCCTTGGGTTCGGGCTGTGAGGTTTCAGGCTTTAGGGCTGTTTAGGGGGTTAGGTTAGGGTTTGGAGGTTTAAGGCGTTTGGAGAATGTAGGGCCCGACGACCCTCAATCCCCGAAAACCCTGAACCGGTGGAAGCTCTACTTACAGGATCATGGGACTTAGTAACTAGGGTTATAAACAATGTAACTATACTCATAATTACTTACAACCCCAATTAGGGGACTTATAACCTTACTTACTAAGTCCCATGATCCTCCAAGTAGACCCTAAACCCTAAACCCTAGAGATCCCTTTAAGGAACTCTATATACATCCCTTTAAGGAGCCCTTTAAGAACCCTTACTTACTAAGTCCCATGATCCTCCAAGTAGGGTTTAGGTGTTTTGTGGGCTCAGGGCTTGGAGGGTAAGCGTGTGGGCTCGAAGCTTTAGATTAAAATTCTATTGCTTCTAATTGAAACCCACACAAGCAGCTCCCAGATAGGGGTTTTTTAAATCATACTAACATTAGGGGTTCAGGAGGCTTTAGGGTGAACCGTCAAAATCTGCGCGCCACCTCCTGAACCAGTAAAGCAGCGGTGCCGAGAGGCAGACGAGGCAAACGAGGATGAAGATACCCCTGAGTAGGGTGTAGGGCTTGGGGTTTAGGGTTTAGGGCTTGTTTGGGGTTAAGTTAGGGGTTTAGGGCTTAGGGTTGGGGGTTCACGGTTTGGGGCTGAGGGTTTTGGGTTCCGAAGAGGAACGCTAATGATTCTGAGCACCTGATGTCTTTGTCTCAAGCTAACAACTTGCGGAAGGGGTATCCATAAAAGCCTTGAGTGCTGGTTCTTCAAAATGCGTCACAGAAGCTAGGCCGCAAACTCTTGCATTAGCACAGGTTTAATTGTAGCAGTGCAGAGGCAGCCCAGGAGCGGGAAAAGGAGGAGGAGGAGGAGGAGGAGGTGGACGAGGCGGAGAATTATCCTCCGAATCGACTGATCAAGCTATAACCGAACATATCTGATACGTCACACAAACTCCCTCAGAGCATCGAATGGAAGATCTTGGAAGTAGGCTGCTGCCAAATCTGCACCTCAAGTCTGGCGGTGTTCAAGAGACTCACTGAAACCACCCTAAACCCGAAACCCTAAATCCTAAACGCCCAAGTCACGTCCCAAATGCACAACCAACGGTACCCAGATCTCTACATGTCAGATTTCAAGCATCGCTGGCATCCACTAAGGCTCACGCACAAGTAGGATCGGCGGTATACCGAACAGATCCTGCAGGAGGTGGAGTGGGATTAGTAAGCGCGAGTGGCGACTTAGGGTTATAAGGGTTTGAAGAGGTTAAACATGTTTAATCCTACTGACATTTTGGAGTGTCCGAAAATAGGGGACCCTAATACAGTACCCCAAATAGTAGGACCCTTCTTATAGGGACCCCCAGAATAAGGTACCCCCCCTGATTTTCGGAAACTACCGATTGAAATCTTGGAATTCCTGTCTGAAGCCCCAGATCCCTAAACCCCCCCCCCCCCCCCCCCCAAACTTTGCGTTCCTCAATCACCACCATGAGCCTGTTATCTATACCGCCCTTAGAACCATAATGAAAATATCAATTTAAATATTTCTTGGGTTTTATATGAACGAAAACATAATTCTACGCAGACTCTAGTTATGATTGGTGTGGCCCTGGACAGGACTGAGAACGAAACTGTACACGAGCTCACTTAGCGTTTGCCGGCTTCGGCGCTTCACGGGCCAATGCGTTTAGGAAGGTTTGAGGGGATTGGGGGTACGGGGTTCCTTTCAAGGGAGCTATAAGGGTACCTTTAAGGGGTTCCTTTAAGGGATCTATAGGGTTTAGGCTTGATATAAATCCTGCATTACCCATCATAAGGAATATACCATAATTCCCATAGTTCAGGGTCCTTACGTAAGGTAATGCAGGATTTATATCATCAACCGTATTTCGGCTCGGGCACGCGGCGGCTCTATCCTTGCGGCGGAGCAATTGTTCATGTGAGGACTCAGCTTGGGTGCACTTTAAGGACCTGTAGGGGTTCCTATAAAGGGATCTATAAGGGAACTATAGGGTGTAGAGGTTTAGGGTTGTAGAACTGATCACTATGCCGTGCTTGCACAGACAAGCTGTAATACCACAGAGCTCGCATGCTCATGAGAGATCGATGCTTGAAGCCTTACATGCAACAGAGACTCTAAATCCGAGACCCCAGTCCTAAATCACTGACAACCTGAACCCAAGACCCAGCTTCACCAGCTTACTGTTTAGCCCAACAAGGTCCAAGCATCAGTATGATATATACTTAGACCCCCAAAATACCCCATAAGTATATACCATAATGATAAGGGTAGGCGCTGCGTTTTGGGACCGTAGGCCTTCAGCCCTCAGCCCCTGGAACCCACCCCCAAGTGGCCTGCGCCCCTCCTGCGCCGATGGGCACCCGCGGGGCCTTCTTTTACGGCTTTTGGGTTTAAGGATCTAGGCTTGGTGCTTGGTGCTTTCGGGCTTGTACCTGCAAGTACCTGCGCAGCGCTTTTCTCAAGAACCAGTGGTTTCTGACATGATTACGTGTTGGTATATAAAAATCAAGCTTTAGGGATCTATGCGGCCCTGTTTGTTTTTTGAACCACCCTGCCCCCCCCCTCCCTCCCCCAATTTTGTTTCTGGGGTTTAGGGTTTAGGATGTACTATACTGTAATGAGAATGCTATTCCTGTTTCAGTTCTAAGGTCGATTAGGTTTCGGATTTCCGGTGTAGGGAATTAGCAATAAGGGCTTAGGTTCAGGATGTAGAGTTTCGGGGCGGGGGGGATCCTTTTGTTCCGATGGTTTCGGTATTATAGGGCCTTATAAGGGCTCAGGATACAGCAAGAGTACAGTTAGAGTCAGTCGCCTGGGTTTGGGGGCATACTGTGACGAAGATCCCCCCCCCGCTTCCGCATTGTAGTAGTATCTGCTTGGGGACCCGGATTTAGATGCAGAAGGCCGAGAAACCTAAGGGGTCTGAGGGGCATGGAGCGCAGGATCCAAGAAACTCTCACTGACCTTCAACTCTAAACCCTAAACCCTAAACCCTAAACCCAAACCCAAAAAGCTACAGAGCACAGTTTATGGTTGCCGAAGCAGAAACTCTTTCCGCAGAGGCACCGAAAGCCACCAAACCCGAAAACCCATGAACCCCAAAGCCAGCAACAACTGTTTGGCTCTTAGTAGGCAATGGGGGAACGGATAACTATAGTAGTCCCTATATAATCCCCAACAATCGTCCCCAGGACCCATTCCCCCAGTCCCTACTAAGAACCAGACAGACAATGCCTTCCCTGAACGGCCCTTGACTCCAAACACGTGGAGACAAGCCGTAAGAGAGACTCACAAGACTTGAGATACGTATGAATGACATATCCAGGACCCTCTTTGTGCCCTCAAACAGAGCTACACTAGGGTCGAACACAGGGTAGATAAGGGGTCTCTTAAGCTCAGACCACCGTTCACGGGGATCAGATTAGACTATTTGTAGGGGCGAAATGGGGGGATGTGCATCCTCCATATAGGAGTTTCCGAAAATAGGGGACGCCAAAATACTACCCTAAACAATAGGATCCTTATTATAAGGACCCCAAAATAAGGTACCCCCAACTTTCGGAAACTCCCAAACCCTAAACCCTGTAGATCCCTTACAGGAACCCCTTAAAGGATCCCCTTAAAGGTACCCCTACATAATTTTCGGAAACCCCCATGTTCAAGCGAGCCTGGGTGGTCAGCTCGACCTGAAACAAACCTGACGCTGTCGGGCAGAAGCGTTGAGATCTCGGGTTTTGGGGTTTAGGGTTTAGGGTGTAGGGGACAGGTAAAATGGGCCATGATAGTCACCGGTGTGATTTTTTCATTGCTCATTCATGCGCCTAAGGCCGCCGTTCTCAGAGTATCTTAATCCCAACATCGGCCTGAATCCTGAACCAAAAACCGCAGTTTATTGTGTCTGGCTTTGGGGTCAACTTTATAAGCCCTATCGCCTAAACCCTGAACGTTCGGCCTTTCGCAAGTTCTGGAACCCTGACACTGCAGATCGCAGACCCCGGGCCCCACACCATTCTACCAACATGATCCCCATGGCGTATGTGAGGACTTCTTGGCATCAAGCATCCCATGTTGGTCGATGTCTTGACATTCAAATCCAATTGGAGGCTTAAGACCGTCTAAAACTGTCTATGCAACGCGTTCTTTTAGTATTACTATCGCCTTGAACTCAAAGGACTAGCAAGGGTCGGGAGACATGGGTCTGGCGTATGCAGCTGCCTTGCGATGTCGACATCCACCCACGCGGAGATTATGGCGAAGGCAGCGCATGGTGGCTGCTGGGCCACATCGGAGGAGACACCGAAAGTGCGAACAGATTAGGGTTAGGCTGTGACAACTTTGAGGGACATCTTCGAGGCTTTCTACTGCAGATCTGCTCGAGGGAAATGATCTTGTTCGTTTCCAGAAACCTTGCTCGTGGCGTGAAGCTGAGATCTGCAAGAGCATGACAGCGGGGAATTTGCCAACTTTCCAAGAGCTTGTCAACACCTTGCAGCAGACCTGGACGATTCAGCGAAGCCTGACAACTCTAGCTACTCTTTGTGCCCAAACAAACCCCTAAACCTTGAAGTCCTAAACCCTCAAGCCCTGAACCCTAAACCCCTAAACCCTAAAGTCCTAAGCCCTAAACTCCTAACCCCAAAAGTCCTAAGCCCTAAATCCTAACCCCCTAAACCCTAAGGCTATAAACTCTAAAGCCCTCACGGCTCAACGGATTGCCAGCAACAGCTGGGGCTTGAAATAAAGGAGTTCATGACAGGGGTTTAGTTTAGGGTTTGAGGTTTAGGGGTCAGGGTGTAGGGTTAGGGTTTAGGGTTAAGCTCTCTTCTTGAACAACCGGGCCCCAAAAGGTTCAAACTTTCTAAGGTAGAGCTAACGATTAAGGCCAAAAAGTTTCAAGTTCCCCCGCTCACTATCCAAGTTAGTCTTTGGGTGTAAGGTTTACGGCTCCGAAGATTTATGGTCTAAGGATTCAAGGGTTAGCATGCTGAACCTTTCATGGCCTGTAGTTGGGCGCTGAAGAAAGGACAACGCGGCCAAAGGTACCAAGAAGATCCGACTTGCCTATACATGCGACCTGCGCCACTGCAAGCTGGAGCACATACTTGTGCAGAATCGTAGGGAACTCGAGGTCAACGTTGGGGAGTACATGGCGGTCATTATAGCCCCCCAACAGCTTCTGGTTACCAACCCTACTACTACCTGTAGCCGAAAAGACCTACCCTTTTTAGGAACTATATACAGAAACCATAATAAGGAATCCTAAAATGGTAGGTCTTTTCGGCTACAGGTATGAACAAGAATCTCAGGGCTTCCTACAGATGATCACAAACGAACAACATTTTCTCTGATATTCGCTACTTCGAACGCCCTCTGACTTATGCAAACTGTAGCCTAGCCACTTTTGCCCCAAACCCCACTGCAAACCAAATCCTGAGATCTCGAAGTCAGCGTCATCTTGGCTCGCTCGGCGCATTTTCTGCAGCTGGCAGTCTCCGGGTGCAGGGAAAATGAGGGTCCGAAGATGTACCCAAAATCACATGACACCATCCCAAGACCTGAAACCTACACCTTCTATATCAGCCTACAAGAACCACTATCAACCCTAACAAAATGGGATCCTCTTCTCCAACCTAAACCATCGAAAATCCGTGAACCCTACGTTCAGGAGCCCCAAAAGAAGAGGACCCCATACTTGCCGGAAACCAACAGAAGCAGGCTCAGAATCCAGTGGCACCTCTCCGGTCAATCCTTGCTTGCCCACGAAGTCGGGTTGAGGGTTTATGTATCGTTGCCGGGTTCTACCGTTTAAGCAACACCTTTTTTTGCGTTTAAGAGGGATGGTCTGCTGCAGGCTGGAAGTACAGTACAAGCCCAAATGTTGGAAACCCGAAAGCCTCAATCCTTGACAGCAATGCAACGAGAAGCCCAGCATTATTTGGCCTTAATCCGGTTTCCCACTTTACGGGGTTTACAGTAAGATATACCAAGATGCTCATTACAGTCAACCTGAGTCAACCTGCACTTTGAAGCTGCGCAATCGGAGATTGTGTCTTGCAGCGACGATCAGAACCGGGCTACCAGATTGTAACAAAGTCGATAGCCTAGGTGTAGAGATAGGATGTGCCCCAATCCTAAACCGCTAACTTTAAGCCCTGAACCCATGCCCTCCTCGGACCCGCAACCCCAAACCAAGACCCTAAATTTATATACGTCCTTAGCCTTAGCTTTGGGGTCCGTGCCCTCGTTCTTTCCATACCTTTGTGCCCTGCAAAGCTCTAAGCCCCAAATTCAGAAGCCTCACAAACCCTTGCCTTAAGCCTCAAAGCCCGAAACCTAGAGCCCAATGTCGCAAAACTGCTGGGGCATGGGAGACAACAATGACGTTTCTAGAGAACCAAGCTCTTGGTGGGAAACTGTTCAGTTTGACAAGCAACGAGTTGGGGCTTAAGCCTGGACACCCCTAAACCCAAAAACCCCAAAGGGTTCAGGGTTTCAGTGCTTAGGAAGTCAAGCCCAGGTTGGGGTCTGGGGCTTGGGGTTTAGGATTTGGTGCTTACCTAGACTCTCCATTGTAGTTCCTTCCCTTGGTTAACAAGTTTTAGGCTTAGGATCCTATAGTAGAGATTTTGGCTAACCAAAAAAAGGGACTACAATGGAGACTATTGGTAGGCCTTGGGGTGTAAGTTTTAGGGCCTGGTGTTCCGGAGAAATACCTGCAGAGGCAACTTTTAGGTCGGTTTGGGGTTTCCAATTTTACAGGGAACTCCAGAAAGTTGGAATATGGTTTCATGGTAGGATACCCTATAATTTACCATAGAAGGGTTAGGGTAATCATATTCCAACTTTCTGGCTTTTACCTTAAGTCATTGCCAGACCCCAAACTGACCCACAGTTCAACACAAGAGAATGCGAACACAAGGAAGGCACCAATGGACTCATCCCAAAAAATAAAAAATGTCGGATGAACAGCCTGGAATCCTAAATGCTAGACGTGGGCCGTTCGTTTGAAGCCGTCACTCAAGCTTCTATATTACACCCTGAATGTTTTACCCTCAGCTCAGAAGCGCGAACGCCTGAATGGACCTTAAACCGGAAGCCCGAAACCCTAATGTCAATAGCCGAAACACACCAAAAATCAGCACCGGGCCGAAAACATGCAAAAAAAACGCGCCTGATTCCTCGGTACTCATGGGAACAAGGGGCCCCCGCATAACCTCCACACAATAGGATCCTAAGCATAACAGCACCTAGATACGGAATCCTCTATATAACCCTAAAGCTAGGATCCGTGCAATTTTACAACTCCCCAAAACAAGGGGAACCCATAAACCCTACGTGGAGGATCAGGGGACTTTGTAAGTAAGGTTATAAGTCCCCTAACTGGGGTTATAAGTAGTTATAAGTATAGTTACCTTAATTATAACCTTAGTTACTAAGTCCCATGATCCTTTAAGTACCCTAAACCTTTTTTGATCCCTTATAGGAACCCTTCAAGGAGCCCTGTAAAGTTACTAAGTCCCATGATCCTTTAAGTAAACCCTAAACCCTAAACCCTAGAGATCCCTTTACGGAACTCTATATACATCCCCTTAAGGAGCCCTTTAAGAACCCGCCCCCCCCAGTAAGGGGAACGCATGCGTCTGACCTCGGGGCCCCTGCAGTGCCGCATGGGCATGCCAACCAACGGGTCCCAACCTCTTCTCCGGTTGATGATATAAATCCTGGGGTTCCTTTAAAGGGCTCTATAAGGGTACCTTTAAGGGCTTCCTTTAAGGGATCTATAGGGTTTAGGGTTTAGGGATGATATAAATCCTGCATTACCCATAATAAGAAAGATACCATAATTCCCATAGTGTAGGGTCCTTAAGGTAATGCAGGATTTATATCATCAACCGTCGCAGTGCTCTTTGGCCCGAAGATGCCGGGTTTAGGGTGCGGTTTCGGGTTTAGGGGTTTAGGGCTTAAGGATTTCGGGCTTAGGGTTCAGGGGGGTGTAGATATAGAGAGTACAGAGACTGTGAGGGCACATGATTGGCATGTTTTGCACCTATCAGCCTCTACAGGATTGAAGTATGACTCGAATTGCCCCGCAAGCTTTCCTTCGGGGGCTGATAACATGAGCACCCATCGTCTAGAACTCTAGGGAATACAGTACACAGTTTGAGGAAGTTCTGTCTTTTCAGGTCTAGAGCTTGGGGCTTAGAAGCTTTGGCAACTCGTGGTGCTGTGATGCTTGTGGTATGCATCGTGACCTTCTGAAGTCTTATACCTAATCCCCGAAAGCCTCGATAATGATCCTCAACCCGAATCCCAAGCCAAACCCCTCAACCCACACCTTAAACCTCAAGCCCTAAAGCCTCAGGCTTAAACTCATCTTGAACCCCAAGTTCTCAACCCCCAATTCAACTTAGTTGCTGCGTTCTTAAGCCCCAAAACAATGTACACTTCTTAGTTTCTATAGTGAGTAGGATTATCCCAAAGAGTGTATAAAGTGTATCCACTCAGCTACTAAGTTATAGAACACTACAATACGCCTTCCCAACCGTGAACCCAAACAAATCTTAACCCCAAGTGTATCCACTCGGCTACTTAGTCCATATTCTCAAAATGGAGCCCCAAAACCCCTGTAACTCTGCTCCGAGGATCCTCGGACCTCACGATAGACACCAGGTTCGTGTGCATAAGGATATGTTTTGATAGTAGTATAATAGGAATATAATAGGGCCCTAGTATAATCCTTGTAGTCACTATTACAGGGTGGGGGGCAGCTTCTAAGATATATTCTGCTTCTATATAGTCAAAATTACTTAATATAGCCCTAATTGTGGTACTTATAGCCATATATATATATATATATATATATATATATATATACATATACATATATATATATAATCAAAATTGCTTAATTCTAATTGAAATACTTATAGGTGGTTGTCAAAATTAGGGTCCCTCTTTGGATATCCTAAATAATAGGTAGGTACCGTAATATAATAAGGACCCAAAGAGGGACCCTAATTTTGACAACCACCCTTATAGGAACCCTACTTAAAGGATCATGGGACTTAGTAAGTAGGGTTATAGATAAGGTAACTGTACTTATAATTACCTATCACCCCAATTAAGGGACGTATAACATTACTTACTAAGTCCCATGATCCTCCAAGTAGACCCTAAACCCTAAACCCTAGAGATCCCTTTAAGGAACCCTATATACATCCCTTTCTGGAG